TTTTTTTGTTTGATTGGTTATTTTGGGTGGTTTTTTTTTTGTTTTGTTTTGTTTTGTTTTGTTACTCTGTCAAAGAAATGGAACTGACACAGTGTAATCCCTCCTTTTGGTCAGTGCTGCTCAGGGCAGCATCTGTTCTAACTCAAGCAAGACAACTTTGAGAGCCATACTTTATTTTTCTTTTCCCCAGCAGCTCTCGATTATTTGATCTTTTTAAATTTTTTCTGCTGTTATGTCTATTCAGTAACTTAAAAATGAAATTATTATTTGTTACAGTTACATAAAACTGTAGGCAGTGCAAACACTGAAATTGTCAGCAAATTCTTGGCCACAAGTCTTTTACCAAGTGTTCCTAAATCAGTAATTGGTTGTAATGGCCTAGTTATTTCTCAAAGCTGAGAAAATGTCACAAAATTTATTTCCGTCAGATGAATGTTAAACACCTGTTTCACCAATTCACAAACATTAGCTTTTAGTGTTGATACAAAGAGCTTAGTTGACTATGGAGAATATATGAAATTATCACAATAGACAAAGGAATGATGAAACTGTTTACTGTCTACAGCATAATTCTGCATTTTATGAGATAGCCTGGAAAGTAGACACAGGGCTTCAGAGGAAATGAGTTTCTCTCTTTTGACATGTCCACAAACTAAAAGTGAGAATTTCCTTCTTAGTGTCGACAACTACTGGTGGGATATAGGAAATGGAGTTTCTCTAGGCTTAGGAAAAAGATTAGAAACAGGATTTGTATTAGGAGAGGCCCAGTGCTAATTACAGTGTAAGGTTTGAGCACTTGTGAAATACCAGCCTGACGACAGTCAAAGTTCTGTGTTTTTCCACAGTGAAACAGAAACCACCTGAAAGTTAACCTTTAATGGTAAGCATTCCATCCAGAAAACATTTGGATCAATACTGACTAAACCACACCTGTCCAAAAATAGAAACCATTATATCATTAAAATAATGATAAATTTGATGATTTTTGTGGTAGAGTTCAGTGAAGATCACTGCTTGCATGATTGGCCTCTGAGAACACCAATATTCAGAAAATCCCAAAGAAAACACTCCTTCTTTTTATGATTCTTCAGTAACTATAGTAAATGGGCATTTGCAAGCCATTTTACTGAAGAATTTAGAAAGGGCTTAAGTCTCATGGGGAGATCTCAGAAGGACATAGAAGGTGCCATGTTTACATTGGGGAATATAAAATCATTCTATGCTTAAGGATGTTTTTTTTATAGCAGTAAAAGTTTTAAGGGTAAACAGAGATTATATTAGACCATCACAGCTTCTTCACAGATAATATTCCAAGGTCTGTTTTCTATATGTTCCTTTTCAGAATGCAGCACTGCAGAACAGGTACTCAAAATGGGCTAAATTGAATCCTATAACTGTAACATGAAAGATCTGTTTGTCTGGCTTTTTTCCCCCGGTTGTTTTTACAGCTATGTATTTATTTATCTATTTTGGTGGCGACTTTGAGTGTGGGAGGGTGGTTTAGTTTTGCTGGTTGTTTATTATTATTACTATTATTACTATTATTATTAATAATAGTAATAATAATAATAATAATTAGACTTATATTTTTATGAATGCAACCTCCTGAGGCCAAAAAGTATTGTGAAGTGTTGGTGCCTGTGTGTTTTGATGAGCAAGTGCTTGGGGACACCAGGTGCCAGAAGAAACCCTTTGGCCTGGCAGGCCGCAGTGAACAGACATATCTGTGAAGGGCATCGGCAATCTGCTTCCCGTCACTCGGGACAATCCACCGCCGGAAAACCCACTCTGCCAAGGCGGCAGGAGTTCGAGGTGAAAGAGAAAAAAACAAAGTTGCCATCTCTCATTAAGATTTATTATGCGTCTGAACTTTTGTAGTCCCGAAGCTTAACGACAGATGGTGGTGTAACTCCACCAATTTTGTAACGTCTCCTTTTCTTTGATGTTGTAATACAGATCCTCCTCGACTTGACTTCGGTTAAAACCAGCATTTTCTGCTCCTTCCCAAGTGTCTTGGAGCAGTACGCAGGGAGGAAAGGGAGTGCACCTAGTTCGAAGAGCAGTCTGTGTTCTTGTTTGCTTCCTAAACAATCCTGATAGAAAATAGCAATCTTATAGACACACCTAATGCTGCCAGCAGCAGAGAGAAATTACATTAAATTAATTAAAGGAAAATGGTTTCAAAGTGGTTTTTTCAAGCGAGAAATACAATTGTACAGATGAAATCTTGAACCGTAAACAGGAACAAATAAAACGCACCAGCCGAGTCACATTTTAGACCGTAGTCGTCCTTGTAAAAAAAAAAAAGAAAAAAAAAAAAAAAAAGAAAAAAAAAAAAGAAGTGGGGAAATTGTGTGGGTTTTTAGCTTTAATTTTGGGTGGAACTGCCAAGTCGCGCCGAGTAATATTAGCGGCCAAGTGCCGTGTTGTTCTCTGCACGTTGTGCCCACTAGACAGAGGGTCTGCCTGCGAGGTCACACTGTACAGGACGAGGGGTTCGTGGAACAAAGCGCAGCCCGGGTAGAGGGCTGGGAGCGCTGTGGGTACTCGCGGGAGCGGACGGCGTCCGGCCCGACGGCGGCGGCCCGCGGCAGGGCAGGGCAGGGCAGGGCCGGGCTGGGTCGGACCGGACCCTCGGGTCACCGTACGCCGCCGCTCCCGTCCCTCCGGCCGGAGATACCGCGGCCGCCCGGCGCCCAACGAAGTTGGCGGTGCCCGCGGCCGGGTCGCGCCGTCTCGCCGGTTCGGTACCGCGGGCTAAGCCCACAGAAAGTGCGCTGCACGCTGTCTTCTGCAGGTACCAGGATTTGTCCGCTACCGCAGGCGGCTCCTGAGGGAGAGGGAGCTGCCTGTCCTCCGGGGCGCGCTTCCCGCCCGAGGAGAAGGGGGGCCGGCGGTCTCCGGACCGCGCAGCTTGCTCCCCGCGAGGCGCAGCGCCCCTGCCCGCGGAGCCCATGGGCGGTCGGAGCCTGCGGGGCCCAATTTCGTTTGCGGGCCGGCGGGGCGCGTAGCGGCGGGTCCCGCGCGGCTCCCCTCCCGCCCCGCTGGCTCGTGGGGCGCGGAGCCGTGCAGGGCGGCTGCCCGGGGGAACTCTGTCCCCCGGCTCCGCGGGGTGCGCGGCGAGCGTCCTCCGCAACCGTTGCGCTCGTAGCCCTCCGCGGCAGCGGGCAGCACCCCGGTAACCCGGGGCAGTGACGGGGCGAGGAGGGGGTGGAACGAGGGGCAAAGAGACAAAAGAGCCGCGAATAGCAAATAAATATATTTTACGGCCACCCATCGGCAGCACCGCGGCCCCGCGAGCCTCTGCCCCGGCGCTGAACTTTCACCTCGCGAACCCGGCCGCGCCCCATTGGCTGCCGGCCGGCCCGCCGCGCCCCGCACGGCCCCGCCGCCGCCCTGGCCCCCGGCCCCGCCGCCGCGGGCGGGCGGAAGGGTGCGCGGCGGGGCGGGGGGCGGCCTGGGCCGGGGGCCGCCGCGGGGGGCCCCGCCGAGTTGCCGGAGTTGCGACGGCTCCGCCCCGCGATAGCGGCTGCCCCCCCCGCCCCCCGCCGGTGCCGAGCGGGCGGCGGTGCCCCTGCCGGGGCTGGCCCGCGGCCCCGGGAGCGAGTGGCGCGGGGCGCGGCGGGCAGGCGGTCTGCTACTTGCCTGTAGCAGCGAGCGGCAAAGTTTGTGGGATTTTTAATTGTGCTTAATAAATGCAGTGACTGTTAATTCTGAGTGACAGTCACTTGTGATCCTGGCCCTCGGCGGGTACGGAGAGCCCTGCTAACGCTGGGGCTGCCGCGCGATGATTAGGTAGGCTCCGAAATAACAAACCCCACGTTCCACCCGGCCACCTCCGTCCACTTTCTCCCGCGCCCACGCAAGGTCCTTCCACGCAAACACACCCCCAGCACCGATTTACTGGGGACCGTGGCGAGGACAAGGGATGACAAGACCAGCTCTAGACACGGTGCCAGCAATTCTCTCCCCGTTCTCCCTGATACCCTACCCCACGCAGGAATTACTTGAAAGTGTTTTTCCCGGGGGGATCGGCAGCCCCAGGGCCGGGCGGTCGTTCCAGACAGGCGAGGAGCGGCTGGTCCCCGCTGCGGATATCTGGGGGGGGGATCCTGCACCTTGCTTCAAGTTCCGGAGCCGGGGAGAAAAAAAGTTCAAGGGCCCACGCGTGCCTCCTCGGCAGAGTTGCTGCTGCCAGCGGCCAGGCCTGCCCCGCCGTCCCCCTCCCACTCGGGTTCCCTGGGCTGCCTTCGCGCGGGGCCGCTGCACCTCGGGGGCTGCCAGCAGGCTGCAGCCGGCCGGCACTGCCAGCACAACACACGGCTTTGTTTTCCGCCCGTCTGCTAAACTCGTTGTGTCTAACGGAGCCGGCGGAGCGGGGCGGCGGGAGGGGAGAGGGGGCGGGAAGGGGAAGCCGCCGCCAGCAAACAATTTCCCCGACGGTTTGTTTACATAGCAGGTGGAGCTGCCGTCCGCCGCGACCCACAGCGCCCGCTCCGCCGGGGACCGGCCGGGGGAGGGGCCCGGCGCATCCCGCCGCACTTTTTTTGTTGCCATTCCCCCTCCGCTGCTTTCACCCCCACCCCTCCCTGCGTTATTAGCACTTCTGTGCAGGCCACTCCGCGATCATGTGAGGGAGGGCTCCCTTCGCACTCCCCTCTCTCCAAAGCAGCCGGTGTGCGCGGCGGTTTCTTTTTTCTTTTTTTTTTTTTTCCCTCCTTTTTTTTTTTTTTTTTTTTTTTTTTTTCCCCCGTCTTTTTTTTTTTTTTTTTTTTTTTTGCATTCCCAACAAAACACATACACACAGGCGGCACACTCCGCACACGGGCGGACACGCACGCCGGGGGAGGGAGAGCAGCACCGCCAGCGCCTGGCAGCACCAGCCGGCGGGAGGGCGCGAGGCTCCGACGCCGCTCCGCGCCCGCGGAGGGCCCCGCGCCGCCCGCCCGCCCCCGCTCCCCCGGCCCGCGCGGCGGCTCCGCCCGCAGGGACTCTGTATGTGCGCGCGGCTGCGCGCGGCTCCGCTCGCCCTTTCTCTCTCGGTGTCAGCTCGCCGGGACGCCCTGCACGGTGTCTCCTCCCGGTAAGTGCTACCCCCCCACCCCGCCCCGCACACCCGTCCCCTCCTCCCTCCGCTCCCCGGTGTGACTTGCTACTTCCAACCCCCTCCGCCGCCGCCGCTCACTGACTTGCCGCCGCCGCGGGAAAGTTTGGCCGCTGCCGGCGCGGCCGCAGCAGTGACATGTGTCAGGTCTCCCGGCACCCGGTGGCACCGCTCCCAAACACGCACCGCCAGCGGGGGGCGGGGGCGCGCTCTGCGGTGGGAGCCTGCGAGTTGGGGCCGTGCCCGGCGGGCCGGGCCGGATCGGCCGCGGGAGCGGGCGTAAGCTTCCCCCAAACAACTCGCGGCGGCCGCGGGTCGGCAGGGCCTCCCCTCCCGCCGCTCGCAGCCGCGCAGCGCCGCGGACCCCACACCCCCGCGTAATTAAAAACAAACAACCTGTAGCCTCTCGCACGGGTAGGGAAGTGCTAGGCGGGGAGGGCTTGGGGCCAGACTGGCGAGGAAGCGTGTGCGGGAGGCTTGGTTGCCCGCCGTTTGCCTCCCCGTTTGTGTGGTGGTGCGTTGTTTTGGTGTTTTTTTCCCCCCCTCTTTTTTTGTTTTTTTTTTTTTTTCCTTTCTTCTTCTTTTTCCCCGAGACCTCCCCAGCAGACAGCCCGGGTGAAGAAACGTGTCACGTTTCTCCTTTGTGTGCTGCCTGCCCGCCGGAGGGAGAGGCGCACCCCAGCCCCCGCCTCTCCTCCCGCCCGCTCGCGCGGAGGGGCCGCTGCCGGCCGCCCCCTCGGGGCGCCCCGCGCCGCGCTGCCCCGGGGCGCCCCCGCTGGCGTGGGAGGGGAAGCGCAGGGGTGCCGGGGTGCCCGTGGGGTAGCGGTGCCCCCGGGTGCTGTTTGGGCTTCGCAGGGAACGGTGTCGTCCTCTCGCCCAAGACAAAATTGCCTAAACCCAAGAATTAATAAATAATGGTGTTGGAGCTGCGGGGTTCCGGAGGCGGCCTCCGTGCCTGGTACGTGGGGGCCTTCCCTTAAAATTTGCTTTGAAGTTGAGGAGAGCTTCGGGACTTGGAAAGTTTGGGAAGCGTGATAGATCCTGAGGAGAGGGGAGCGGCCGCGGCGGCCTTGGCTGTGGAGCGGGCAGTGCCGTGCCATCGGCAGTGCCAGGGCAGCCGCAGGACGGGGCCGAGCGCCGGCACCTCCGCTCCCCGTCCTGCCGCGCCGAGCGCGGGGTGCGCGGGCGGCAGCGCTCTTGGCCTCCTGTAACCTGCCGAAAAGCCGTGTGCCGCCCGGCGGAGCCTGCACGGCCAAGGTAAAAGCAGTCGGTGAGGCGGTTTTGTTCTTTTCCCCTAGTTCTGCTCGTGTCAGGTTCGTCAGGCAGCGGGCCCGTGTCGCAGCGCAGCCCCTGGCCGAGAACGCTGGCGAGCGCTGGTAAGGTCCCGGGATGGAGCCACTGGAGAGGGGTAAAGCTTAGGCTATGGGCTGGCAGGAAAACGCTCGTCTAAAATTTGCGAGAATAGTCCACACAGAAAGCGGGCTGCTGATACATTCTCCAGGGAAAAATAATCTCAAAAGTAACCACCGTGAATGGATGGTATTGTCCTCTATTAGTAAAGAGTGCAGAGCTACAGATGGAGGAATGGGCAGTACCCTCTACCTGGGAATTGATTATACTTTTAGGAAGTCTCGCTTCCAAAGAGGATCTTCTCTGATCTTTCTGTGCATTAGAGCCCCTATCCAAACTCTGCTCTAGAGAGTGGAAATCTTTCCATTGACAGCAGTAGGAATCGCTTCATTGATTTCACAGGCTTGGATCAGGCCCTTAGAAATTTTTTTACAAAGGTGGAACTCAGAAGTTGTGCATGGTGTGTATATCTCCCCCCATTAATTCATGTGTGTGGGGGGGAAAGAAGTCAAAGTTTTAAGAGATTTTGACAATTTTAAATTTTTTCATCAGTGGTAAGTAATTTAAAGCCATTAAGGAAAAACATTACTGCTAGTAATATTACTCTGAAGAAAAATATGATTAATTATTAAATTGGTTTCTCTAATACTACACTAAACCCTTTTAAGTGAGATACGGTTTTAATTGTTCAAACTAGTATTTTTTAACGTTTTTTCTTGACAATAATTTGTTCATGTAAATACTCAAAATACTTGTGTTTTGTAGTAATCTGCAGTTTTAATGTAGTTCTTACAAAACAGTTTTGTTCTGTAGGGTTTTTGCATACTTAAATCATTCCTTTAATTAATGAGGATAGTAGATCAGTAAAAGGTTAAGGGAAAGGAAGAGTATTTCAAATTTAGGGAATGCATGTAGTTAGACATCCTAATTTATTTGAAATACAGTGCTTCATGTGAGGCCTTGTTGGTGTAGGCTTTAAGGTTTAACAGTAACTTTAGGAGGAAACTTAAACAGAATCAATTGTATAAATATTTGTGTATTTCTTTGTGTTTAGTTTAACCTCGGTGATTTTTACATTGTGTCACGGGATCTTTGCTACAGTGCACTGTTTATATCATCTGAGAGGAGAAAACCTAAATGTTTTGTAGCATTCTGTTTAGTGAAGATTTATGTAAAATGATGAAATAGTCTATAAGGAGCAATCAAATTAGAGTGGGTTTGAGTGTGAGGAAGAGTAAAAGAAATACACCAAGTTCAGGACATTTCAGTCAGTAAATACATGGTACTCTTTTAAAGCTGCACTAGGGTTTGTGCAGTAGTCAGGTGAATAGTTCCACAGATTTTTGAAGTGACTTGTTTATTTGCTGGTGTTTGGCTATTATTTTTGTTGTTGCATTTTTTTCTGTAATCATCTGTTGCTTATAAATTTTTAAAATGCTTTCCATAATAGAATGTGTTGGGACTATAATTTTAAGAATAAAGGTGTATTTGCTTAGAAACATTCCTGTCAGACTCCATTATTTTTTTGAAAAATTTCTTGTTGGACTTACAATATTTTTTTTAAATGCATTTAAAATAAGTTTTTGGGTTTTTTTAGGACTAATTTATGTGAGCTGGAATAAGTTTTTTGTATTCTGAGAAATATACCTGATTCAGCATTGCATGCACAGGAGTTATTCAGGGCTTGTGGGCTGAAAACAATAGAAAACTTCTGAGATGTGATCCATGTTGAGGCAGTGTTTTGCTATGTGTCATTGAAAATGTCACTTAACCTCTTTGTTTTTCATCACTGAAATGTGAGGGCTGGTATTTATCTTTCTGATAGAGTGGTTAATTAATATTTCTTGAACATGGGGTACTTTTTTGTTCCATTTCTGTTTTTACCAGGTTTATTTTGGAGAAATTAAACTGTGACGGTGGCTGAAAATGAATGGTTCCTGAGAGTCATGTTTTTTTCTTTGTCGGTCGGATTGTGAAGAGGTCACTTGCTCACATGAAATGAAAATGATTTAGGACATAGGTCACTGGAAAGTACCCATGGAATGATTTTGACTGGAGAAAAAAGCAAATCACAATCAAAATGAAAAATACTGTCAACTTTGTTGTAAAATAATGTTTCTATATACATTGGAACTGATTACTCTTAAAATTTTGTGACGGCTAATGGGTTTAGAAGTAATGCAAATTGTCTATTTTTTTTTTTCACAGCCACAGTAGCATTCCTCTTAGCTAATTGTTGAAGAAATTAGAATTGTTCTTGTTAGAAGAAATACTTGTCATTTAAATTCCTGCTCCCTGCCCTGTTTTGACTTGATACCTTTCCTGATTGTATGTGTAAAATAGTGGCACCAGAAAAAGCTCACATAAGCGATGAAATTACAGAAAAGCTTAGCTGTAATAAACTAACTTCTTAATCTTAAAATTGCAATAAAATAGTTCGTTGTTAGTTGTTTGAAGTCTTTCTTCCACATTTGTTCCTTTACAGAATAAGTATACTTGCTGAAATAATTTCCAAGAGTAGCTTTTGACTTAAATTACAAAACTTCTAGACCGGCAAAAAAACAAGGAGCAGTCTCACAAGTATTATTTAGAACTGGTCATCTTTTTTTTTTCTCCTTTCTGAGGCTTTCAGTAGCTTAATAAAACTTACTACTTTTAAAAATCTTACAAAACGTTCACTGCAAATTATCAGATGCATCTATTCTTTGTTGCAAGATTTGCATCTGTTTTGGCTTTTCTCTTTTTTGTTTATTTTTTTAATCCCATTTCTGATAGGTTTGTGTTTAAGGGCAACACCATGTTTTATGTCAGAAAGGTGGTTTTGAAAATGCCAGTAATAGCTTGCTTATGCTGTCATCACTGAAGTAGCTGAAAATAATCTCTTTAATGAACAGTTGCTACGATGTTTATTTAGAAAGTAACATTTGAACTCTGAGGAATGAATTTGTTTGGAATTATGTTTAATATAGCAATTTCAGATCCTGTTCTAAGAAAAATAAAGTTAAAACATTAAGTATATTGCTTTAAACTCTACTATCTTAAGTCTTTTTAGTAAGTTGTAGAGGTTGCTAAGGGGAGGGAATAAGAACGTTGTGGGTTTAACTTTTTGTTCATTTACTTAGTTATTTCTTTTTCCTGTGAATAGTAATTACACATCTATAGTTGGAAATGGGATTGCTGCAGTTTTTTTCTTGTTTAACTATGTACATTAATCAGGCTGGCTGCTGAGGACAGAGCTTATTCTCTTGGATATGGTGTACTGTACCCCCTACATGCCCTGAATGTGGGTGTCTCTTCTGGGTGGCAGAGGGCTTTGCTGTAGGTAACAGGTGACTTTCTAATTGGTTAGGCTGAGGAACAACAAACAGGTTTAAAGGACAGGCAGCACCTTCATTCAATGTGCAGAAGGGAGATTTTCTGCCCTGGCCGCTCCCTCCACTGCCCTTGCAGTGCTGTGTGATGTCCGTTCTGGCATGAAAGGAGAAACTACAGATCTCCATCATACAACCCTCTGAGTCACAAAGAACCCTCTTTGAGGTTCACAGGCTGGCTTTGGCTTACCTGTAGAACTTGCTTGTTTACCAAGGAGCTTCAGCTTCCTGTGGGCAGCAGGTACTGAAAGAAGGTGG